GCTTGAGGCTGTCAGGGTTTCTGGTTGCCTGTGTTTCGGGCTATTGAGATTTTGGGTGTGTCGGGGGTTTAGGGGTTTGTCGATGTTTCAAAAGTGCCGGGATTTGGGGGTCTCGGGGGTGCCGGGGTCTGTGGGTGCCGGGGCCCGGGAGTGCCCAAGTCCGGGGGTCCGAGGTTTGGGAGGTGCTGGGGTCCGGGGGTTTGGGGGGTGTCGGAGTGCGGGGGTCCATGGTTTTGGGGGAGCCGAAGTCCGGGGGTTTTGGGGGTGCCCGTGTCTGGGGGTCCGGGTGTGAGGCCAGGGCTATAAATAGCGGCGCCCGAGGCCCCCCCACCCCCCGGCCGGTCGGTCGGTCGGTCCCTCCCGGTCGGTCGGTCCCTCCCCGGGACGGGGCGGGACGGGCCAGGGCAGCGCTTAAAGCCGCCGCCGCCCCCGGCCCCGCCACTCTCCGCCGCCGCCCCCGGCCCGAGAACCCTCCGGGAACGCATCGGGAACGCATCGGACCCCGCCGCGAATCGGCACCGGGAACTCACCGGGAACCGCTGCTCTGCCTCGGGAACACACCGGGAACCCACCGGGAACTGGCCCCGGGAACCCACCGGACCCCGCCGGGATCCGCTGCTCCGCTCCGGGAACTCATCGGGAACCGACCTCGGGAATCAGGTGGACCCTCCGCCCCCCGGGACTCGCCGCTACCTCGGGGAACCCACCGGGAACCCACCGGACCCCCCCAACCCCTTAGGGATCCGCTGCTCCCCTCTGGGAGCCGAGAACCGACCCCACCACCGGGAACTTGCACCGGGACAGACTCAGGACAGCAGCCCCTGGCACCGGCTCCCTGACTCTGGGAATCGGGACCCCCACTGGGGACACCGGCATCGAGCCGCGACCCCCCCCCGGGACACCGGGACTGAGCCGAGACGCCGTGCCCAGGCACCCGCACTGATCCCGGGATCCGGGAGCACCCCCTGGGCACCGGGACTGACCGAGGACACGGTCCCCCGGCGTCGGGAACTGGGACCCCCCCCAGGACACTGACACCCACCCGTGATCCAGGACACCGGGACTGACCCAGGACACCGTCCCCCAGCACCAGGACCCCATTGCAGGCACCAGCACCCCCCCGGGACCCCCACCAGGGACACCGGCCCTGAGCCAGGACACCATCCTCCAGCACCGGCTTTGCCACCGGGACCCAGGACCCCCACCCCGGGCACCCACGTTGTCC